TTGTTGTTCGAAGATGCTAATAAATCAACCAAAACCAAAGCACAACAGCAAACATTTCAGAACGTAGTGAGTATGCTGCAGAAAATGAAAATAATTAAAATGTAGAGAGTGTCTCTACATTAAATGTGTCTCTAATTAAAATGTGGCTTCATTAAATTGGTGGCCAAGGAAGCCCGCTCTGTGGGGCTGGAATCTGAGCCTGAGAGGGGAGACATCCCTGAGGCATCACAGGAAACACTACCTACCGGCAAAGGGACCGGGCCCACTCCAGGGCCTTGAAGTACAACTTCCTGTGTTCCAGGAGAGAAAGGCAGCCAGCGTGGTGGGAGCGACCCGCATGTAGGGGAAGGAACAGGAGAGGAGGTGACAGAGGCAGGATGAGCCAGATTACACAGAGCTTCCAAGATTTTAAGTTCAACTGGAAGCCACTGGGCCATTGGACATCAGATGAGTGACATATCTGATTTATAGTTTTTAAAAAATTATGCTAACAGCTCCAGAAGGACCCACGCCAGAGTGGAGCAGGGTGTCTGGAGAGGAGGCTGCAGCGTTAGCCCAGACAGAAGATTACGCGCCTTGGAACTGAATGAGGCAGAGGTGACGGGGGTCTTCCAGGGGGTGTGGGAGGACGTGTGAGCGGGGTCTCGATGGGATGGGCATGGGACGGATGTTTGCTCTCAGCTTGGGGATCTGCATCCACGACGTGGCGCTGAGGTACACCCGCGAGGGAATCGCAAGTGCTCGGAGCAGCCACGTGCTCCCTCGCGGTGCAGCCTTTCCCCTGCGGCCTCCCGTCCCTGAGCTTCTGAATATCACTGATGATTCTGCAAGACAGCTGCTGGCACCCAAACGGTGTTGTGCCAGTCTGGGAGTGTCTCCCCAGAGGCCCTGCCAAAGGGGGAACTTGACCCCCATCCCCAGCCCCTGCCACCCCCGGCCTCCTGGCCCAGCAAAGCTGCCCTACTTAATCCTACTTAATGAATTATCTCCTCTGCACGGAGCGTCGATTAAACAATTTATTGCTAGTTATTTCAGAAGGTGTGCGGTGCCCTCACTTTAACCCAGAAATAGTTAGATCTGGAGCAGAGCAGTGCCCAGTGCAGGCCATCTTACTTCATATGAGAACAGAGAAGAGGTTGTGAATAGAATTATTCCATTTCATTTGGGCCCCCTGAAGTCACCCGCAATTCCATCTCTGGACTCTTGCCTCCAAATTTACTTTTTTCATTCTTGCTGCCCCTCCTGTTCCGCCTACTCCCCACACCCTTACCTGGCCAGCTCTGGATGCCGCTGCCGCTGGCCCTGCCTGCTTTCCTCACCTGCAGCCCAGTCTAGCCCTTGGGCGCCTGTCTGTGCTCAGCTATAGGTACCTGCAACCCCAACCTGGGTGAAGGCTAAGGCCGTGGGGCACTTTGTCCCATGCTGTGGTAAATCTCTGCAGTTAGAGTGACTGTGCTGCTGTGTCCATGAGGTGGCTGTCACAGGCAGCTGATTCTCCAAATTCTTCAACAGGGCAACCCCTGGAGATTAACCCCTGGAGGACAGGGACTGTTCAGGGCGGTGCTGACATGCTGTCTGATGCATAGGTCAAGGCACCATCTCCAGGTGGATGCCCCAGGCTCTCAGGCGTGGGGAAGTCCAGCCTCTGCTCCTGAGTGTGCTCCCTCCCTACTTCCTCAAGGTCAGCAGGTGGCAGCTGCCCCGGGTTCCAGACTCCCATAGCCATGTCCAATCCAGCTGGTAAGGACTCTGACTTGATAAGGCAGGGAGTGCCCTCCCAATCCTTGGAGCGCCATCTTCTGAAAAAGACCACCATCCAAGGGATCAGCACTTGGTGGCTTTGTTCTCCAGCCCCTCCTGTTGGTGCCTGGCCTGGTGGGACCCATAAGGTATGTGGACGCCACTTCCCTCCCCAGCCTCTTTCAGGAGGACATAGCTTTACTGAGGGACACAGGTAATGAAGTGCCAGGATGGATGAGAAGGCTACATGATCTGTGGATGAGATGGGTTTGCTCCAACCCGGACAGTGCCCCAGCCGGTGAGAAACAGCTCTTAGAATAGCAGCTTCCCCGAAGCTCTCCTTGATGCTCACACTTTATCATAAAGTACGGTTTTGCCATGTAAGAAAATACACTGCATGGCCTAGAAAAGCAGATTTATCTGGGCCTCTGAATAACCAGGGCTTGGGTCAGCCTTCCTAGTAATAACTGAAGCCCCTTTGCACACTGCCCTATCCCTATCTCTTGCTGCATAAGGTTTGAAGAAACAGTCCTAAAAGACCAGGGTAAAAAAAAAAGAAAATCAGGAGAGGCCTTGGCCAACCAGTTCATCTCTAGTATCATAAAATATTAGAGCTGGAAGGAATGTTAAAGTTCATCTATTCCGCTAGTTCTCAACTCCGGTTGCACATTAAGATCACCCCCAGAAGTTTTGCTTGGATTAGTCTGGGGTGGGACCCTAGCATCAGTGTTTTGTTTTGTTGTAGTTCTTTTGCTATCTGGGTTTTTTTTTTTTTTTTAATATAGATTTAGGGAGTACAAGTGATTTTTGTTACACAGCTGAATTGCAAAGTGAAGTCTAGGCTTTTAATACACCGACCACCTGACTAGTGTACGTTATACCCAATAGGTAATTTTTCATCCCGTAGCCCCCTCCCCGCCCCCCGTTCTGTGTCTCCAACATCCATTAAGTCACTCTGTATGACCATATGTACCCACTGCTTAGCTCCCACTGAGAACGTAGCTTCAGTATGTTCTAAAAGCTCTCCCGGTGATTCGAGTGTGCAGTGGTGGAGAACCCCTCCCTGGGCACACAGGCTCTCCACCCATTCGCCCTGAAGGGGGGAGCTCAGCTTCCTCGTCAAGCCCAGGGGCTTTCAGACGGCCTTCCCCAGAGCCCTGGGCTTCTGGGAGGTGGCTCAGCAGTTAGGGGACAGAGCTCCCCACACCTTTCTGTCCTCACTGTCTGCGCCTACACCCCCCGCGATGGTGCCCACCAAGGTGTCAGGTGAGTGGGAAGTACCCCAATGACCCCACGGCCATCACAGCTGTGGGCCAGCCGCCATCACTCAGTTCTGGCCCTTTATTGTCTGACCACTGGCGTGTGGCCTGGCCGGAAACGATAAACCGGCCAATCACATTCTCTTTCTCTTTCTCTGGACTCTGACTTAAGCTGCCCAGAAGGAAGTTGCCAAGGGGTTGAAAGGTCCCAGAGACTTAGCACCTGGGCAGGATCTGAACCTCATGCCTGGCCTGGAGCGGGAGGGGAGGGGACAGAAAAAGGAGGCAGGAGTCTTAAATGCCACGAAAGAGGTGAAGATGAAAGGCAGTCAGCCCCCAGGGCTCGCCGGATTCCTGCTCTGCCAGAGGCCTGTTTGCTCAGCTTTTCTCCGATTCCTGGGAGACCTCTGCAGAGCCTTAGGAAAGCCTTATTTTACTGGAGCCTGCCTTTGTATAACCAAGAGAGTCTTAGAGAGAACACCCAGTACAAACAGAGCCGCTCCACTTTCATCTTTTTACATTTTGGGGGGCCATGTGAGATTCGGATTGCAAAGGGGAAACAAAAGGGTCCCACTGCTAAAGTATGATGTGGAAACCATCGGGCCAGTCTGAGTCCTTGTCTCCCTGAAGGGCGCACTGAGGCACAGAGAAGGCAGGCGTGGCTGGCGCCGTTGGTCTCAGCCTCTGCAGGAGACCAGGAGGAAGAGTGTGAGAACTGCTAGAAAGAGCCACCACGTCCCCCTCCTTCCCTCAGCCTCTGCCATAACTGCAGGTGTGGGACTCACTGAGGAAGCAGCTGTGGAGTGGGACATCCTGACCCTCAGATGGCAGGGGGTTTGGTAGCCCTGGGTGGTAGCTCCTTGGAAAGCCCCGCTTGTCTTTGGCACAGAATGGCTGTGCTTCAAGGAAATAAGGGTAAACCTTCAGGCCCCAAGCCAAATCCCGGAAGTCTTTCCTCTTTCCCCCAACCCATAGCTCACTAGCCCAGAGATCTCTCTGTACACCTAGGGGGACAACCCCCTCCTTTCCCCAGCTTGACCTCTAGATGAAGAGCCAGCATGGCCCACTCCTCCACCTCCTGCCTCTGCTCAGAGACCGGAGCCTAGTGGTTCACAAAAGGGACTTGAGTTGAGCATCTGCACAGGTCCTAAAGTCTAACTGACATTTGTTTCCATGTGTAGGACTCACTTTTCTTTCTTCCCATAAATATTTCTAATTCCCTCTGTCCAAGCCCAATTCCCCTTCGATCAAGCCCCACATCATGCAGCCATCAACCTTTCTCTGAGGAGCAGACCGTGATGGACATAGCCCAGTGGTCAACTTCCGCTTCGGACTGAGACTCAAACCAGACAACCAAAAAGCACATTTCAGCTCTTAAGGGAAAAGAAGGCGCACAAGAGGCATGACCTATGGACTGGAACCTGTTCCCACAGAGCTCTGCAGTCTCCTTATACAGCAGAGACTGCAGGATTGCTCCCACGGCCATGGCAGTGCAGTAATGAGCGAGACAGATATGAGACAGCATCTAGTCCTGTCCCACCGCTGCCTTATTTGCAAAGGGAGCAGCTTTAGCACACCTAAGCCAAGGGTGAAGATAGACTTTTGGAAGGGAAACTGCCCAGAGAGCGCCTGCTTCCCACAGCAAAGCCAAGGCTACGTGTATGAAATGCCCAAGTGCCTCCTGGGCTCAGGCTTCCTCCGGGTCTAACGTCTCCTTCTGCCTAACCACAAGTCTCATACTCATCTCTTTTTCACCCCAGACAGTCAGATCCCCTGGAGGGTGAGGACCATGTCTCATTTTCCTTTGCATTCCCAACAGCTGGTGCAGTGGTGAGTAGCTAACAACTTAGCTACTGAGAATATTTGTGAATTGATGGATGAGTGAATGAGAAGAGCCCAGTCTAGCTGTGGTCCCCTCTGCCACATCCTCTTAGCCATTCTCCCCAAACTTAAGTACCCAGGACCTTTCCCACCCCCACCCCACCCAGCCCACAGCCTCACCTCCCATGAGGAAGAGCAGCCCTGCCACATACTGCATAAGGCCCCGGTCCCAGCAGCAGCCCAGCACGCCGATGATCCAGCCGAAGAGGATGATGGCCACCGCCATGCCCATGAAGCCGGCCGTCATTCTGCGCAGGTCTGTGGGAAGCAGGAGAGCAACAGTCAGTGTCAGAGCCTGGGACTCAGGCCAGGGTGCACCCAGCCCTGGGGTGGAAGGGGAGAGGACAGGGCACTGCAGGGGCAGGAAGGCAACCCGCTCTTTTCAGACAGGATTGAATAATCAAGCGTGCTTTGCAGAGGAGAGAGCCCCATGGCGACTCAGTCCTCGTGTGTAAAAACATGCCACGACAGTTTGGTTCTTAAGCACAGGGAGAGATCATCACATTATAGTGGCAATTTCTCCGTCGCCTCCTCTGTGGCAGGCACAGTGCTGTCCTTCCACGCATCTAGCTCAACCTTCTGAAACAGGCGCTGTCTTTATTCCTACCTGCAAATTGCAGCAACTTGCCAAAGGGCATACAGCTAGTAAGTGGGAGAACTGGGACTGGAATCCTGACCTGTGTGGTCCCAACCACAGCATCATGCAGAATCTCCAGGGAGCTGAGAACCGGAGAAACAGTTCAAGCTGGGCAGGGTCTGGGCAGTCAGGCTACAACCTGCCAAGACCCCCCTCTCTTCCCTCCAGCATTTGCTGGTCTCTCCAGAAGGTCAAGAATGAGGAGAGGCCTCGGGTTTTGGGGCTTTGGTGCTGGTTCCTTCCCCTCTGCGCTGGCTCTGGGCTCAGGCTTCCCTGCACGTGGGGCTGCAGAATGGGGAACCACACTCCTGCTCTCCATTTGAGCCTGGAGCAGGCCGCCTTTTTGCACTTGCTACCCCCAGGTCAGCCCAGCTTTCTGAGTCAGACCCTAGCCATACCCCCACCCCATCAGCTCGGGGGGCAGAGGGTTGCCTGGAAAGGCAGTATAGTTAGCAGAAGAGACAAGACAGAGCTGCTGCCGTGACTCAAGTGGCCACTCAGCATCTGGCTCAGCTCGGCATCCTCCCCGCCGCCCCCCGCCCCCCCGGGCCCAAAAGCAACCCGAACCGCCCCCAACGCCCCCCCCCAACGGCCCAACGCCCCCCAACCCCCAACAACCTCAAGGAAAACTTTCCCAGCCCAAAATCCCTCCCCAAGGCCCGCCAACCAACGCCTCCAACGCCCCAAAAACCCCCCAACCCCCCAAAAAACCCCAACAAAACCCGGGCCCGGCCCCAAAACAGAACAAAACCAATTGGCCCGCCCCCGCCCCAAGGCCCGGGCCCCCCAGGGGATCATCAATTTACTTAACAGACCACTTGAGTCTGTGTGTATGTTCGGTATATGTCCAGTGACTTGTCTCTGACCAACAGACTTCCTTATCTTAACTTAAAACTTCCCAAGCCTTTAGACAAAGTTTCATTTCTTTAACCAATTACAAACCAAAGAATCTTTAAACCCACCTATAAGCTGTGAGCCCCCACTTCGGGATGTCCTGCCTTTTCAGCCCAAACTAATGTACACCTTCCATGTATTGATATATGACTTTATGTGTAATTCCTGTCTCCCTTAAAATGTGTAAAACCAAACCATAATCCAACCACAGTGAGACCACTTGCTCAAGGCTTCTTGGGGTTGGCTCTCTGGGCCGTGGTTGCACATATTCGGCTCAGAATAAACATCTTTAAATTATTTTACAGAGTTTGGATTCTTTTCTATTGACATGAGACAGACACTAGCCATCTGTGTCCCAGGTCAGGGAGGGGCTGTTGACCTCTGACACTGATTAGGTACACTTTGCTGTCTCTCAAAGGGCTCTATCAACAGAAGCTGAGGGTTGTGCTAAGTTGTTGATCTGGAAACAGAATGAAAACCACAGGTCAGGCCTGTGTATTTTCACTGACCCTGGAGGATGTTCACATCACCCTGCAAGCCTTATTTTGCCAGAGCTGCATATAAACAGCTGGTTAGTTTGTCCTTAGACCCATGTGGTAACTCAGGGAAGCTGCAACAACAACTTATAAAGTAGTTAGGACAAGAAATATTCCTATTTTAAAGATAAGAAAAGCAAGATTCAAAGAAGTTAAATAATGTATCGACAAACAATCTGAAAACCAGTGTACTATAAGAAGAGCGAGTTGCGTTATTGAGTTATGTGAGAAAATAAAATAATGTCATTAAAGATGTATCAGGTTATAATGGCAGATTAAACACATGTATCTAGCATGTCTTCCTCCCAAATCAAGCCAGAACTACAGCTAACAGATTTTTCAAAAAGACAGAAATGCACAAAGACGAGGAAAATAGGAAAGGAGACAAGGATGGCCACCACGAAAGACTAGATGCTGCAGAAGCGAGGGACAATACGATTGCACTGACTTAGCTGACCTAAAGAGCCCAATCTGAAGCCAGCACCAGGGAAGCCGAAAACCAACTTGCAGAATTCCCAGAAGGCTCATGAACTGGCACTGACAGGTGCCCCTGGATCAGGTAGGTAAGCAGAGGCAGACAGATAAAAGAAAGATTTGGTGGAAGATATTTAAGAAGGAACTAGATGCCTAGATCCCCTCGCCCACTCCACACCACTGTGGGACACCCCTCTGACCCCCCACTCCTAGAGACAGGGTAGGGGAGGGGCATAAAACAGAGTACTTAGCAGTGGGGTGGACAAACCCAGGTGAGGGCTGGCGCACAGTTGAGGGTCAAAATATTGTACTGAAGTTCACTACAACACCCTGGTAGCGTGATTGACTATGTCCACACAGGATGTTGTCTTATCGTTGAGACCCCAGCCTTCTTCCACTTGGCCCCCAGAAGCTGGCTGCTAGGCCTTTGCCCTCCAGTCTGGAGACTGGGAGAACTTTCTGGGATGACCAGGACAGAGGAAAGGGCTCACTCACTCACTCACTGCTCCCACGCAGCTCTTTAGCACTTGCTTTTAAACATAAGCAGACAACTCATCATTACTAGATATCTGAGAAAAGCCCACAATCCAGGAGAAAAACAACTTAAGGAAACAGACTATGCAGGGAGATGCAGGAAGAAAAAAATTAAAAATTATTATTAATATCCCCAGAGAGACGAGAGAAGAAAGATGTTGCCTCCCTGAAATAAAAACAGAATACTATTAAAAAGGACTAGCTGGAGAACAAAAATAATACCTTGAAATAAAATAACAGAATCAAAATCTATGAAATTTATATCATAAATTCCATTCCCCACTTATGTATTAACAGTCCTATCATGTTCCAAAAAAGACTTAAGAAGGCTTATGAAGCGCGCACAGAAGAGGATAAAAATAACGACGCAGCAGAGAAAAAGAAAGAAAAGGAGGATGAGGCCAGACAGCACATTCACACGCAAAACTTGGTCCATGAGGTCCTTAGGAAGGTTATTATATCGCTAGATTTGAACTTACAGGCATCGGATGTTATTTCCATTGTTTTAAAATCCTTGCTGCTTTTCATTTGCACTTGAGTGAGTCCCCACTGCCACTCTGCCTGAGGAGCGGCCTGTGTCTGTGTCTGTGTTCCTGCCCATCTGCGTTAACCTACGTGTCAATCTTCTCTCTTTAGGGTAAGAAACTGCCTTTTTAATTCTTTGTGACCACTTACTGTGCCCTCAGCAGTATTTTGTTCTCAGGAGCTTACATAGCTTGTATTTCTTTCCCCATCTCTTCCTGCCTTTTTAGAAAAGAATAAAAGAAAAGAAGAGGGAGGAAAACCCAATTCTGAAGCCCTGGAAAAATGTTATCCAGGGCTGGCCTAAGAATAATCCCCTCGGAAAGAGCCCGTAATGATGCGTTTGACTCTTGAGGCAAAGACTGAGATAAAGAAAAATCTTCTCAAGAATCATGTTGGGTTTGAGCCCGTTATCTGTATTCCGTGACCCCAACATTTAACACTCTAATTTTTGAAACGAGAAGGGTGCATTCTAAACTTTGGTGTATTTAGTTCAGAGCAGTGGAAAGGAGTGGGCAGAGGGAGGTGGATAATGAGGGAAGGTGGAGGAGGAAAGTCCAGGAGAACCGCTAAATAGAACCAGAAAAAGCAGTTCTCCCTCCTGGAAAAATTGTGATTTGGAAGTTTACATTCCTATTAACATTTAAATTGAAAGGTATTGCTTGCAACTCTATTCAGGAAACCAGGATATCTGCATTTAAATAAACACCACTTAGAGAAGAAAAATATATAGGCTCTGAATGTCTTTCTATTTGCTCTTTAAAGACCTTGCACAGAAAAATGATGATTGGAATTTTTTTTTCCTCATTAAAAAACCCAGAAATGGTGAGCATAAATATGCATTAGACCTTGCTGCAATGGTCACAACTGGTCTAGAGAAAGGAGCATTTTAGTACCTTGCATTGGTGGCCCCAGAGGTATGGGCTTGGAGTGTCACTCTGCAGCTGGAGACCGGCAAGGCATGGGCCTTTGCTGGCCACACGGGCACCTCTGGGTGAGCCTCGTTTGCAGGAAGCGCTCCCTCCTGCATGACATGAGCGCATAGCCCTGGGTACAAGGCAAGGAAGTGTGAGCGGCCCTGGGAGCTGGGCATTCATTCATGAATTAATTAGTCCCTCAGAGAATCAAGGTCACAGGAATTGGAGGGCAGAGCAAAGTGCAGAGGACAGAACTCAAGTGCTTTTGCCCCAAGAAGTCAGTCAGTCTGGGAAGTAAGAAGTGGAGAGAGAGAAACTACAATGAACATGGTAGCCCTAGCTGTGGGGTCAACTCAGGACAAGCTGATTCAAAGGACCAATCACTGTACAGCGACCATCTCTGAAGGAAATGGGGGTTTTGATTCTGGGGAACCACATAGACATGCAACAGGTGGGGCTGGGAGGACGAATTCTGGGAACCAGGCCACTCCTGTTCAAATCCTGGCTCTTCCACATACTGGCAGTGGGAACTTGAGCAAACTAGTCCATTTCTCTGGATCCCAGTTTCTGCATCTGTAAGTGGAGGTTATGACAGTACTTACTTCAAAGAGTTATTAAGAGGGTTAAACAGGTTAATATGTGTAAACTGCTTAGAATAGCACCTGGCACCATGCTAGAGCCATGTAAGTGTAAACGGAAACGGAGGTCACCTGAATGAAAGCAGGTCTCTTTTGTTCATGAGCC